GTTACAAGATCTGTCGAGTCATTAATCTAATTTGGCCGTAACAGTGTGGCTTTAGTTCTGTCAAATCCACTATAGACCAGATATTCACAATACGCCAAATCTTGCAAAGGCCCTCACCATCTACTTGTAGACTTCAAAAGTCGCTTTCGGTAGCACTAAAAGGAGTTGCCTAACGCCGCGATGTCCGAGTTTGGTACCCCCGCGAAATTAGACTCCGTCAGAATTTGGCAATACCTCTCCGAGCTGTTTGCCAACAAACGCGTTTGCGACAGGGCGACTCCTCAGCGCATTCGCGCCTTGCCACCCACGTCACTATTGACAGTTGTAAATTTGAGAAAGTAGTGAATTTTGGTTTATTGGGAACCAGAATTAACACCGATAATAATGTCAGCATCAANTTCATTCAAAATGTTGTAAATTTGTTTGTAAGATAGCTTTTTTATTGAAAACTTTTATGTATGTACGAATTCCGCAGCTCTTCGCCAAACATTGTAGCAGAGTCCAATTCAAATACCATGCCTGCTTTTTTGTTAGATATGTATAACTACCGGCCAAAGTATGTATTTAAAAGTATATAAAGCAGTTTCTTATTTTTTACCACCTTTCCTTGAAATCGAAATTTGAGACCCCGGTGGAATACCAATTTAATCAAGCTTTCTATTCTAACTTATAGCTTTTGTATTTTTTTTTAACGGTGCTGACTATAAAAAAATACTAAAAGTTATCAATCAGTGGACAATGAAATAAATTAAGTGCGACTGTTACGGGTACCCATCTTTACCTCGTAAATTTCTGGCATCCTAAATAAACTGTCAAAATGGAAAAGTTGTTTACAAAAAAATCTAAGCTATCGCCGCAAATTCAGTGCGTTAAAAAGTGGTAAAATTTTAAACGAAGGATAAACCCAAAATAAAAAATGCTTAAATCTAACTTACCATAATTTTTATCGAAAATATTCCGCATTTGTAAATCAACTGTGAGCCGCTGTGGCAGAGTGGTTAGAGGTGCGTACTACCACTCACCAGTACCTAGGTTCGATCCCTGGTCCAGGCAGCATCTAAATTATAACAAGTTTTGTCTAACATACATGGCCATAGTTTGACTAGGGTTTTGAAATGGCTGTAATTAAACTAGTAAGCTTTTAAAATGGAATGATAGCACTGCCGGACGATGGTTTCAGAACTTTAAAAAAGGAACAAACATCTGAATAAACTTTTCGACGACTAAAGTAAATATGTACATTAGGATGGTCCACAAATTTATGTAAAAAAGTAAAGTCGGAATTTTTATGCTCTCACCCCCCAAGATCCTTCTATACCGAAAAAAATAGACTCTTATTTTTTTATTTTGAAATTAAAAAAAAATTTAGAGGTCGCTCAAAGCGCTTAAAGTTTTCCATGTAATTTATACGGGGTAAAACACTTTTTGTAGAAATGGTATAGAATTCTTGGAAATCTATATTTTTCGACCGGTAAACTCTGTTTCTCTTCAGGAGATTCCCAATAATAATACCCAATTAATTTTTTTAACCATTTTTTTATAGTAACTATATTTTATAAGACCCCTACAAAATGCCAGAAAATGCTATGGGGGGATAAAGAAAAAATCTTTAGTATTAAAAAATTGCTAAATAAACAACTGGATATTGTTATTGGAAGTTTCCTGGAAAGAACCAGAGTTTTCCGATCGAAAAATATGGATTTTCAAGAATTCCATACACTTTCCACGAAAAGTTGTTTTGGAAAACTTTGAGCGCTTTGAGCGTCCGCTAAATATTTATTTTTTGATTTCAAAATAAAAAAATAAGAAAAAAAATAGAGGTATACGTCACTAAATAAGTCTTTAGAATTCGCCATACCAATTTTTTTTTAGTCGATGTGACTTTTGCATCGTAAAATTTGATATTTTTTTAGCACTAACGTGCTCAGAACGCTTTAAAGTACGTGCGCTCTTGGTTTTGTGTACAGTTACATACTTCAAAGGTTTTCGGTGTTAGTATAACCGCTGATGCGAACTGCTTTGGTGCACAAATGTCAAACTTTCATACTTCTCTTAAGTGCGTGAGTGAGAAATCAAGAGTGTTTGAACTTTTTCCCCTCTTCTTACTTGAGAAAAGAATAGGTGAAATTTGTCAGTTGTGTACGAAAAGCAAAAAACAAAATAAATGTAAGATTTTGTTGTTGTAGTACTGCTCCTGCCTTATATGAACGCGTCTTGGACGATTGTTTACAAATTTCGCCGTGGATTAACACAACAACAGTGCATCGATGAACTTATTTCTGGCTGATGAAACACCATCAGGGCCAGTGTTTGTAATTAGTAAAATGCAAGGCGAATTCATACAAGGTGGTAGCAAGGTGTTACAAAATAATTCGCGCCAAAATTTACATACATTTTATTTCCATTTTTGCTGGGTACGCTATCAAATCAGTAAGAGCAAAAATAATATATATGTAAAGCGAAAAAATCAGCTGATCTAACAACACACCGTTGTATGAATTCGCCTTGGTAAAATGCATGCAAACATGGTCGAATTTTGCTTCTCAATAATAAAAAACCAACAAGAGTTGTTCGAACAAGAAGCACTTCGAAACAAATGGTCGCTTGATTCTTCCCAATAGGGGGGCATGTGGCTAAGTTGGCACTTGAGAAGCATGGAACAGTTGATTCTGAGTGGTACACAACCATTTCTTTAGCAACAGCCTTGGACGAATGGAGGAAAACAACGAAAAACTACATTTTTTTTATCCTTCCCGTACATCAAGGATAGTAGATCGCGGTTTTCTTCCCCAGGAGAAATGGTTAACGCGTTCAAAATCTATGTTTTTGAGGTATTGACTGCGCAAAAATGTTTCACCGATTGGTTTGAGCGTAAGCAAAACAGTATAAATCAAGCTGCAGAATATCTTGAAAACCAATAATACCCTACTTACCGATAAGAAACTTTTTTTCTTAGGTATTCCCAGAACTTTTTAGTGACCCTCGTATACATTTATGGTATCAATTGAATCCTAAATTCAACCATTTACCAACGGTTTCCCACAAAGCAGCAAACAGGTTTGATAAAACGCGTGGATCGGAATATTTTCGGATACTACTCCGATTGGCTTTCACAAATTTGGGTGCTAATTAGTTAATGCATACATATGCGAT